CCCTTGTGACCTTAGCCTCATAATCCCTTGTTGCTTTTCTTATTCCTTTTTCTTATTTCTCTCTTTAAATGAATATATTGATTTCTTAACTGCCCATCCCCTCTTTTGACACACCTATATAAGCCTCTCTTTTGACCAATGAGATGTTTTAATCTATTGTTCATCCATTTGGGATCATTTTTGCTAGATCTAATTTCCCTACTCGGAACAAAAGTTGTCTGGGCAGATAGAACTATGCTCTGAAAAACGTCATACAGGCAACCAAGACCACCTACCTGATTCATAGTCAGGACATCCCAATTCAGCCCACCCAGGTAATTTTTCAGACCATGAAATTGGCCAAGCTAAAGCCTGAGACAGAGATTTGATTGCAGTTATCTGGGCAATTCCATGATATATTGAAACTAAGTGATTTGTGAATGCTTTCCCCAAGCTCATCATTAACCTCAAGATTATTAATTAGTGATTCTTTGTTGGCAAATCCAAATCAAATAGAGTGTTTCCTCTAGTTGGTTCTGTCACAAACTGTTTTAAAAAGCAATCCTGAACCGTATCAAGAAGGTCACTAGACACAAGATATCCTGTCACATTGTTCCAATCAATTTGTCTAAAGTTAAAATCTCCCATTAATACAACATTTTCATATCTAGATGCCTTATGAATTTCGTCCCATAACAGCTTACTGCACTCCCTATCAAGGTTTGGGGGCCTATAAATCACACCAAAATTAATTTGTCACGACCCTCGAGAAACTGTAGCCAAACAGATTCTGTGTCTGATATTTCTAATCTTACTTCACGTCTAAGACAACAATTTAAATTTTCTCTGATATACATTGTCACTCCACCACCCTTCCTGTTGACCCTATCAGTGTGGAATAGTTTATAACCCTGTATGTTGCATTCAGAAGGCATTTCTCTATCTTTCAGGTTAAACCATGTCTCTGTTATAGCAATAATATCTATATTACCTGCACTTGCAAGTAACCTTAGCACACCTATCTTATTTCTTAGACTCCTAGTATTTGTATAGTAAACCTTAAGGGAGCTAGTCACTTGTTGCCTTCTACTATCTCTCTTTGTTTGTTGATCAATTGCTTTGCCTTTACTAGCAACTTTATTCTGAATATTGTCTTTTAAACATATCCCTGAGGTATCCCAGTAACATCTGCTGTTTTCAACCCTAATACTGCAGCCTGGTTGTTTCCCACAAACACCCATACCTCTATAATCTATCAGTTTAAAGTCCTAGACAAGTCATCAATTACCCCCTCAACTGAACTGGTTAATGCAACTACTCCAGCCCCAGAGAGATGAACCCCATCCCTTGCATACATATCACATTTGCCATAGAATTTGTCCCAGTTATCAATGAATGGGATTGCAAGTTCCTTGCAGTACCTGTCTAGCCAGCAATTTATACCAACTGCCCTAGACATCCTTTCATTGCCCACTCCCTTTCTAGGCAAGATGTTACATATGATTGGGATGGCTCCCTTAGACCTGGCTACTTCTATGGCTGACCTGTACTTATCCAGTAGCTCCTGTGTCCTACCCTTCCCAATGTCATTACTCCCAGCACTAAGACAGATAATGGGCTTGTTCCCATTACCTGACATAATATTATCCAACCTGCTGACTATGTCACCAACACCAGCTGCTGGGAGGCACACCCTCTGTCTGACCTTCCTATCTCTGTTACAAAAGCACAGTCCATATATCTTACCTGAGAATCTCCTACAGTCACAATGTTCTTACCTTGATTAGCAGGGGAGTGATACCTTTAACCTCACTAACAACTGAAGTACACTCATCCTGGAGAACAGAGAATCAATTTCCTACCTTCACATCTTCTCTATTAACCCTCCTTATCTTCCTTTCTTCCTGAGCTGTGAACCACTTGCCACTTAAAGCAGCTGCCACTCTCACAGCTGGTGACCATTTCCTCTTTACCAGCTTCATCCATCTCACACTCACTCCCAGACCCAAATAGGCAAAGCTTCAGCCTCCTATTTTCCTCCGGAAGAAGTAGAACCTCCTCCTTCAACACTTTAACCTGAGATTCTAAAACACTACAACAAGCCATGGTGCTCGGTAACATCCCACGTTAACTCCCAGAGAGCTTAGGACAGGTATGACCACACATAACCACATTGCTGACATATGAAATGTGTGTCTTTTCACACTTGGGGTCGTCTTGTAGTGTTAACACACACAACACACTTTTTCTGTGACTACTACTTCTTTGGAGTAGATGATATAGGTATCAGGCAGTGGCAGTTAGGGATTATTCTGTTGGGCACTCATCCTCTGGTTGTGGGGTGACAGATTGCTGTTGATGGGTGACAGGTTGCTGTGGAGTGGCAAGTACAGGTGTGGTACCATACTTTTTCACTATCTGCTTGATGACATTGAGGGTAAATTCCACATATCGTTGTCGCTTCCCAGTCTTTATTTCATACATGTTGAAGGCATTGAGCATTACAATGTCTACAAGGTGGAAAAACACTTTTATATACTACTTGCGACTCCTACGCACAAAGTCAACAAACCTTATCATCATGTCACACTTGTCAACTAGTGGCATATTGTTCGTATAATCAATGACAGCAGCTGGCTTTACAATAGGTTCATTGTTGTACCTGCTCAGTCTGTCTGTTTGTACCATCTCATTTCTGTGATCACAAAATTGGTAATTTGGCCAGTTTCATACAAAATTCAAGAAAGACCAATTTCAAAACAGGGTCGAGAATAAACAATGCAAACATTCCTAGCACTAAAATAACATCTCTGTTCATTAGTCATGTCTCCAGGCCCAACTTTGAATTTTTATTCACACAAAAAATGAAAGATTTACTGTTATGTAGACTACTGCATTACTGTAAAATGGTATAAATAATATCAGCGCATTTGTGAAAGCATATTAGATCAGCCAGTTGACGTGTATTGGACGCGTGACGCAAACATCATCAATAATCGAACATTTCTGCTATTTTGAGCTCACTTTCGAGCCACTTTTAGTATGTAAACCATTCAAAATCATCTATATTTCGGCAATATGTATCCCATTCTATCAAATGAGACCAAGAAAATGAGAATACAACTATAAATACCATACAAAAATACACCCCCAAGTCACTGTTTTAACCCTTTCAGGGTCCAAGGCCCAAATCTGGAGTCACACACCAGTGTCCAAGAATTTTCAAAAAAAAAATTTGTTATTTTTTCTTATGAAATCATAGAGAATCTTTTTGTGAAGGTAATAAAACAAAAAGTACGAAATTTGGTGGAAAACTGACGAAATTATGCTCTCGCGAATTTTGATGTGTCAGCGATATTTACGAATCGGCGATTTTGCCGACTTTGACTCCCATTTTAGGCCAATTACATTATTCCAATCAACCAAATTCTTAGCTATTTCACTAGTATTACTTCTATTCTATCGATTGAGCACAAGAAATCGCCAAGTCAACTGTTTCAACTACAAAATAAAGTGATCGGAAATTGTTAATTTGGCCAATTTAACACAAAGTTCAAAATATTCCAATTTCAAAATAGGGTCCAGAATGAACAATGTAGGTATTCCTGGAACTAAACTAACATTTCCTCTGTTCATTAGTTATGTTTTGAGGCTTTACAAATAAATTCCATTTTGATTTTTTATTCACATAATAAATTTTTATTCACACCAAAAAATAGAAGATTTACTGTTATGCAATACTGTAATAATTGTATAAATATCATCACCATATTTGTGAATGTATATTAGACCCACCAGCTGATATGTATTAGACGTGTGAGGTCGTTTGTTTACTCTTGAATATCGGCAAAAATTTAACATTTCTGCTACTTTGAGCTCAGTTTCGAGCCATTTCCAGTGCTAAAACCAATCAAAATCATCTCTATTTCTGTAATATGTCTTCCATTCTATCAAATGAGACCAAGAAATCGCAAATACAACTATAAAAAACATACGAAAAAACACTGCAAAGTTGCTGTTTTAATCGAAAAATCATGATTTCATTTTTTTTCTCTCATTATACACAGTGTGCTGCAGGATCTGTTTTATGTGGTGCACACATACCACATAGATGTATTCTCTCATATCTAGGCCCAAATGTACCACTCACAGTTTATCAGAGTGAGCTGAGCTCATGGCGTAGATCTACGGTTTGGACCCTGAACGTAAAGCCGTAGATCTACGGGACGGACCCTGAAAGGGTTAAACCAAAAAACACAGTCACAGTTTTTTTCTATGCAGTGCATGCTTCAGGATTTTTTTTATACTGAGCACACTGGCCACTTAGACCCATTTTCTCAAATGTAAGCCTACCAGCTATCTCCTGCAAGACTGGACGCCGCTAGAATTTTGGTGTAGTATTACAGGACCGACAGTGAAAGGGTTAATTGTATCCTATGAAGCAAATTTATTTGCTAAGGCAATTTTCATAGCTAGGTTAACTTAATGAGAATATCTACATTCTGAAGAGGTGCCAGGGAGCAGCCTTAACAGGCAGCAGTTTATGGAAACAATATCCCTGATGGCATTCTACAATTTTGTACAGATGCAATTTATAAATCACTAACAATTACTATTATTACTTATATACAATGTGGTATGATTTATAGATACTGACTAGCATAGATTCTTTATTTTAGCATCAGTGACAGAGAAAATCATAACATGTGAAAAATAGCATTTTCCTTTAAAGCCACTGTTAAGTCAATAATACTAAAAATTCCAAGAAAGAGGTATGTAGAATAAAATACAAAACTTTCAGAGCACAATTGGCTTTACGGTATCTCTTATCTTCTACCCTCCCTTCTACAATTCCTTCCCCCTTTATCTGAAGTAATAGGCACATAGTGCTGAACAGTCTTTGTTAAATTTCTTTATGTGCAATTTTTTCTGAAAGCATTCCAGCAAAGACGAAAATGGTACCAAAAATTTATCCAGGGAGAAAAGGGAAAGGCAAATGAAAAAACACACAAGCTACTTACTCGGCCCTTAATGGGACTCTCCTGGTCAGACAAATCGTTAGTTTTCATAGAAGCCATGGCAAATGTTGAGTGATGGGTGGGGGGAGTAGGCAACTTTCGGCGGGGACGGGAATCACTACTCTCCTGCGAGGATGAGAGGGAAGCAAGTGGAGGCTTGGGGCCACGGGGAGATCCAAGAGCACTATTTATAGAAGCATCAGAAGGCTTTGTGTGCTCAGCTACTTGTGCAGCCCACTGTCTAATCCAGTTTGGACTGTTGCGACTTAAACTGCTAGGACTCTGAGGGTAAGAAAATATTTTTCACAATTCAAATCAACTCATCTTTAAGAAAAATTTATAAAGTATATGAAACTTTACCTTCATTTTTAACAAGTTCTCTATTAAAAATGTAAATAATCATTGCCATCTATTATATAATAAAAACATAAAACAAATGAAATTAGCACTGATTAAATGCTTATTATGACACCTAAAATCCAGACGAAGAAGTTTCATATTAATCCTTTCACTGTCCAGACCCTTACCTATCTGAAACTTGTCCACAGTGTCCAAGAATTTTCAAAAAAAATTTTGCTATTTTTTTCTTGTGAAATGGTAGAGAATCTTTTCTGAAGAAAATAGAATAAAAAGTATGAAATTTGATCAAAAACTGACCAAACTACATTTCTGCAAATTTTGCAGTGTCAGCAATATTTATGCATTGGTGATTTTGCCCATTTTGAGTCCTATTTTAAGCCAATTACATTGTGCCAGTTGACCAAATTCTTAGCTATTTCACTAGTGTCTTTATCGAATGAGCACAAGAAATCACCCAATCAACTATTTCAGCTACCCAATTAAGTGATCAGAAATTGGTAATCTGGTCAATTTCACACAAATTTTAAAACATTCCAATTTTAAAACAGGGTCCAGAATAAACAATGCAGGCATTCTTGGCACTAAAATATCATTTCCTCTGTTTGATTTTCATTCACACAAAAAAACAGAAGATTTACTGTTATGCAATATTGTAATACAGTGGACCCTCGACCAACGATGGCATCGTATAACGTTAAATCCGACTAGCGATACATTTTAACGCAAAAATTTTGCCTCGAATAGCGCTAAAAAACTCGACCAACGTGATTCGTTCTGTTCGAGATGCGTCCACTTGTGGCCTGAGTGCGTCTCACTTGTCCCGTGGGTGCCAGTGTTTACAAGCCAGCCAGCCACCGCGGTCCCATCCAAACATACAATCGGAACATTTCATATTATCACAGTGTTTTTTAGTGATTGCACCTGCAAAATAAGTCACCATGGGCCCCAAGAAAGCTTCTAGTGCCAACCCTACAGCAAAAAAGGTGAGAATTACTATGGATATGAAGAAAGAGATCATTGCTAAGTATGAAAGTGGAGTGCGTGTCTCCGAGCTGGCCAGGTCGTACACAAAACCCCAATCAACCATCGCTACTATTGTGGCCAAGAAAACGGCAATCAAGGAAGCTGTTCTTGCCAAAGGTGCAACTATGTTTTCGAAACTGAGATCGCAAGTGATAGAAGATGTTGAGATACTGTTATTGGTGTAGATAAACGAAAAACAGATAGCAGGAGATAGCATCTCTCAAGCGATCATATGTGAAAAGGCTAGGAAGTTGCATAACGATTTAATTAGAAAAATGCCTGCAACTAGTGGTGATGTGAGTGAATTTAAGGCCAGCAAAGGTTGGTTTGAGAGATTTAAGAATCGTAGTGGCATAGTGTGACAAGGCATGGTGAGGCTGCCAGTTTGGACCAAAAAGCAGCTGAAAAATATGTGCAGGAATTCAAGGAGTACATAGACAGTGAAGAATTGAAACCTGAACAAGTGTTTAATTGTGATGAAACAGGCCTGTTTTGGAAGAAAATGACAAGCAGGACCTACATTACTCAGGAGGAAAAGGTACTCCCAGGATGGGAGGTACAGGCCTCTATGGACAGATATGTTGTGCGACAGAGGTCCAGTGACTCTCAAGCTGGTCCTAGTGGCATTAAAAAAGAAGGGAAGTAACCCTGGAAAAATTCTTGACACCTCAAATCCTAATGGAAGGGGATTCCTCTTCTAAACACTAACACCATCCACACTCTCCCCTCCTCCCACCCCATCAATCATCACCAGATCTTCAATAAAGGAAAGTGTCATGTAATTGTACATGTCTTCTTCAGTTTGTGTGTATTAAAATTAATATTTCATGTGGTAATTTTTTTTTTTCAATACTTTGGGGTGTCAGGAACGGATTAATTTGATTTCCACTATTTCTTATGGGGAAAATTAACTCGACTAACGATAATTTGACTAACGATGAGCTCTCAGGAACGGATTAATATTGTTGGTTGAGGGTCCACTGTAATTGTATAAAAAATATCAGCGCATTCGTGAATGTATATTAGACCCACAAGTTGATGTGCATTGGACGCATGATGTGATTCATTTACTCTTGACATAAGCGAAAATCAAACATTTCTGCTACTTTGAGCGCAATTTCAAGTTATTTTCAGTCCTAACACCAATTAAAATCAACTTTATTTCTGTAATATATTTTCCATTCTGTGAAACGAGACCAAGAAACTGAGAATACAACCACAAAAACCACATGAAAATAAACCACAAATTTGCTGTTTTAAACCAAAAACGTGGTCACAGTTTTTTCTCATTATGTACTGCATGCTACAGGATTTTTTTTTTTGTGGTGCACACTTACCGCATCGATCCATTCTCTCACCTGTAGGCCCAAATTTACCACTAACAGTTTATCTGAGTGAGTTGAGTTCATTGCATAGTACTACAGCACAGCCAGTGAACTCTAAAGGCATAGTACTACTTTAGCACGTCAGCGAAGGGTTCAAATATTCTTAGGTTTCGTGTGAAAATTGAGATACGATTAAAACCTATTTTGACACACAGTGGAAGGTTTGTACGGTGGTATACAGCATTCATCATTAAAGTATGCCAGATGGAAGGCACCCAACATACTTTAATGGCCAAAGTAATATCCTAACCTGGTAGGTTTTTTGGCAAGACAAAAAGTTATGCTGGCCTGGCAACTCACAGTTCAAATTCAAATTTCACCAATCAACTCAGAAATTTATAAGGACACTGGCTGCTAACATGGTGGATGCATTTGTGTCCATGGTTTCCCTGCACCATTTCCTCAAGAGGTCTGAGTTTGGCAGAAATTTTTAGTTACTGATGAATTAATGTGAGAAAGTCCCTGACAGAACAGACAATTGCACAGATCATTGGACTACACAAGGCAAGCTATCAAAAGGAGGAAGCAGTAGAAGCTATCAATGTGTGTGAGATTTCAGCGAGGACCTGGCTGCATCAGTTCCTTCAGAATGGTGTTCATGACATGCCCACATGAAAAGCACACCCAGGGAAGTCTAGAAAAAACATCCCCACCACTAACATTAACTGCAATGACATATCAAGAATTGCTCTGTGATCATTTGCCCGAACTTTCAGTGTGTGTTTCAATGATTTTTTATGCAAGACAGTGTGCCTTTCCACACCTCAAAATCTGTTGTTCATTGGCTTTATGACTGTGAGGTACCCTTCTTCAATGACTGACCAAGAAATTCCCCAGACTTGAGCCCATTGAGAACCTCTGATCCGTTATAAAGAGAGAGCTCTACCAGGGGAAAGTTATCAGCCCACTCCTACAGATCCCATGCCACATATAAACTAAATAATGTAGATCTTAATATTACTAATTGCAAAAAGGATTTGGGAGTTCTGGTTAGCAGTAATCTAAAACCAAGACAACAGTGCATAAGTGTTCGCAATAAAGCGAAACAGAATCCTTGGCTTCGTATCAAGGAGCATAAATAACAGGAGTCCTCAGGTTGTTCTTCAACTCTATATATCTTAGGTTAGGCCTCGGTTAGATTATGCTGCACATTTCTGGTCACCGTATTACATAATGGATATAAATGCACTGGAAAACGCACAAAGAGGATAACAATATTGATCCCATGTATCAGAAATCTTCCCTATGAGGACAGACTGAGGACCCTGAATCTGCACTCTCTACAAAGGTGTAGAATTAGGGGGGATATGATTGAGGTGTAAATGAAAAACAGGAATAAATAAAGGGAATGTAAATAGCATGTTAAAAATATTCAGATTTAGGAAGGATATAGGAAAGCACTGGTTTGGTAATAGATGAGTGGGTGTGGATGGGTGTGAGTTTGACCTCACTAGCATGTGCTAATAGGTCTGATGCAATGCTCCTTCCTTAAGTGGATGTGGCCTGATCTGACTAGGTGGGTCACTGGTTTAAGCCGGGAGGTAACTTGGACCTGCCTCACATGGGCCAGTAGGCCTGCTGCAGTGTTCCTTCTTTCTTATGTTCTTATGTAGATAGTTGAAAGATGTTCTAAGAAGCAAGGAAGACCTATTTTGTGGTCACAGTTTTAAATGGGGTACCAGCATACTTTAATGACAAGCACTGTATACCATATGTTGGTAAAATAATAAATGTTCGGTAAAAGGACACATATGAAAGTATGTGGCAATGTTTCACTCTCAAGGAGCTTTATCTAATGTTATGGCTCTCCAGGAGCTTTCTCCTGGAGAGCAAAATGTTGCCACAATAAAATGTCCCATTAGTTGCACGTGTCTGTCCTCTTACCTAATTGGTAATTCTACTAATATTACAAAATTATAAACGCAATTTAAAACAAGTTACCATCACAACCAAAATTTAAAAGTTATACGTTATTATCTTCTGAAGTAATAATTACAGACAATGATAATGAGGGGCATTTAACAGCATTAATATATTCACAGAGAAACACTAAATATTGAAGGATTAAACTGTATTTGAGGATTATTTTAATTAACACTCTGGCCATCTCCCACTGAGGCAGGGTGACCCCAAAAAAACATACACTTTCACCATCATTCATACTATCACTGTCTTTGGAGACGCATGCAGACACAACAGCTTAGATGTCACTCTAAAGAGCAAATATCCCAAACCCCTCCTTTAAAGTGCAGGCATTGTACCTCCCATTTCTAGGGCTCAAGTCCGGCTAACCAGTTCCCCTGAACCCCTTCACAAAATATTACACTGCTCACACTCCAACAGCTCGTCAAGTCCCATAAACCATTTGTCTCCACTCCTATCTAACATGCTCACACATGCCTGCTGTATGTCCAAGCCCCTTGTACACAAAACCTCTTTTACCCCCTCCCTCCATCCTTTCATAGGACGACCACTATCCCTCCTTCCATCCACTACAGATTTATACACTCTCCAAGTCATCCTGTTTTCCTCCATTCTCTCTAAATGACAAAACTACATCAATAACCCCTCCTTAGCCCTTTGAATAATACTTTTAGTAACTCCACCTCCTCCTAATCTCCACACTACAAATTCTCTACATAATATTTATGACACACATTGCTCTTAGACATCTCTACAACCTCCAGCCTCCTCCTTGCTGCAGCATTCACAACCCATTCTTCACACCCATATAAGAGTGCTGGTAGCACTATACTTTTGTATATTCCCTTCTTTGCCTCCATGGATAACATTTTTTTCTCCACAAACTCATCAATGCACTACTCACCTTTTTTCCTTCATCAATTCTATGGTTAACCTCATCCTTCATAAACCCATCTGCTGACAAATCTACTCCCAAATATCTGAACACATTCACTTCTTCCATACACCCTCCCTCCAATGTGATATCCAATTTTTCTTTACCTAACTCGTTTGATACCCTCATCACCTTACTTTTATTTACTTTCACTTTCAACTTTCTTTCTTTACACGCCCTCCCAAACTCGTCCACTAACCTTTGCAACTTCTCTTCAGAATCTCCCATAAACGGTATCATCAGCAAACAGTAACTGTGACAACTCCCATTTTGTATTTGATTCCCCATAATTTAATCCCACCCCTCTCCCCAACACCCTAGCATTTACTTCTTTTATAACTCCATCCATAAATATGTTAAACAACCATGGTGACATTACACACCCCTGTCTAAGGCCTACTTTTACTGGAAAGTAACCACAGGATACAGTGTATTTTAATGAAAACACAGAAAGAAATCAACATTTTTTATAAGCTCTCTACTAATAATACCTTAAATTTGTCAGGTTCTGGAGTAGGTGTCCACAAGTCATGTGTGGGAGCATTTCCTTGGGGTGTAATCACATCAACCTCACTCTCTGTTCCAGAAACACCAAATACACGGTCAATGTTGTTCCTTGCTTGCTCCACCTCAGGAGATGAGGAATCCTTCTCAATTGTGTAGGTTCCAGCTTCACTCACATCATCCTGTGAGTTTGACATTTTATAAACTAAAATAATTATTACATAATTAAAGTATATGTAGGTAGTAGGTTGGTAGACAGCAACCGCCCAGGGAGGTACTACGTCCTGCCAAGTGAGTGTAAAACGGAAACCTGTAATTGTTTTGCATGATGGTAGGTTTGCTGGTGTCTATTTTCTGTCTCATAAACATGCAAGATTTCAGGTATGTCTTGCTACTTCTACTTACACTTAGGTCATACTACACATACATATACGTACAAGCATATATATACACACACCCCTCTGGGTTTTCTTCTATTTTCTTTCTAGTTCTTGTTCTTGTTTATTTCCTCTTATCTCCATGGGGAAGTGGAACAATTCTTCCTCCGTAAGCCATGCGTGTTGTAAGAGGCAACTAAAATGCTGGGAGCAAGGGCCTAGTAACCCCTTCTCCTGTATACATTACTATAGTTAAAAAGATAAACTTTTGTTTTTCTTTTAGGGCCACCCTGCTTCAGTGGGATATGGCCAGTTTGTTGAAAGAAAGAATTAAAGTATCTACAGTTGAATCTCAAATTTACTGGCTTCTTAAGTGGTCCAAAGATTTGACTTTCTCCTGAAAGGCAACCCGCAAATTTGTTTCTCTAACTGTATGTTAATTGGCAACCCTCGAATAAATTCAATTACTCAATATTTTCACTGCTGGGCCACTCATCAATACATCTGATTATACATCTTATTACTGACAAACAAATACTTTCAGTTATCTAATGGTTCTACTCATGAAAAACCCATGAAAAATGTAATTATCCCCCTTTTCTACTACTGGGCAATGCATGAATAGATTTTATCACAAGGATTTTCATGCAGAATAAGTTTTTTAAATTCTGAATTTCTTTTTCCCTTTGGGAAGGGATGAGGGATGATGGAATGATAAGGGTAAAAAAAAAAAAAAGTAGAGAAACTTTTTTTTTTTTTTCCAGATTTTGGTTATATGCTAAGTGGGAGAGTTGTTGGGAGGACAAGTGTGGGGAAGGAGAGGCACAGGAGGAAGCTAATGCTCACAGGATTGTAACAGGTTACAATCACATGAAATTTACTGTTTTTTTATTAAGCAAAATTGGATACATCAGCACTGTCCTGTTACCTTATGACAGTTACACAGAGGGAACAAAGCAATGTTTGCCCTGACATATCCCATCATGCAGGAGGGGGTTCATACTTCTTCTTTCAATAAACCAGCTGTATCCCACCAAGGCAGGATGGCCCAAAAAGAAAAACAAAAGTTTCTCTTCATAACTTTAGTAATGTATACAGGAGAAAGGGTTACTAGCCCCTTGCTCCAAGAATTTTAGTCACCTCTTATGACACGCATGGCTTATGGAGGAAGAATTCTGTTCCACTTCCCCATGGAGATAACACGAAATAAATAACAACAAAAACTAGCAAGAAAATAGAAGAAAACCCAGAGGGGTGGATATATATATGCTTGTACATGTATGTGTAGTGTGACCTAAGTGTAAGTAGAAGTAGCAAGACATACCTGAAACCTTGCATGTTTATGAGACAGAAAAAAGACACCAGCACTCCTACCATCATGTAAAACAATTACAGGTTTCCATTTTACACTTCGCTTGGCAGGACGGTAGTACCTTCCTGGGCAGTTGCTGTCTATCAACCTACTACATAGGGGAGTTCATACAAAGTGGTGAAATCTGTCAGCAGGAGCTGAAAGACTTCAGTAAGGTAATGAGGATATCATCAAATATTCCAGTAGGGGTTCATCAATTACAGGACTTTCATAGGTTTTGTCCCAGCATATCTGGAGTTACTATCACTTGGGAATTACCATCTCCCATGATAACCTATTCCATACATGAGAGAAATAGAAGTTTTGAAGATATCTCCATCATCCTAGAGTGAGGGCAAAGAGAAATTATGCACAGGAGGCAGAGAAAAGAGAGGTGAGGGCAGTAATATGTAGATAATAATAAAGTATAACTAATTACATATACATGTATATACCAGCAAATAAATTATGCAGATATACAATAACTCTGAATTATTCACAACTTCAAATTTGTGACAGCAAAAGAAATGCAACCTATGTGAATCTAGGGGTTCAAGTGTATATAATATACATGAAATAAAAATTAAGCATTCATGAAATTTAAAACTGATGAACAGTAACTCTACCAATATTGTCACAATAGTCAAGTTACTTTGATTTTCAATACCATTACAAAGGCATTTTAACAAATGAACAAATACAAATATGCAAATATAAACGATTTAGTATTAACCTTTTCCTCTTTGCCTCCTTCATGTTCTTTATCTTGCTTAACCTGGTAAGTGTGGGAGCTGCCTAGGCTGGTGGCACTGTTGCTCTCTTTCCGACTCTCAGCAGTCATTTTAGTGTCTATCTGTATAGAAATAGAAGAACATTTATACTCTCTCCTATTTTTTTTTATTAAAGATTCTTTAATGGGATGCTGACCAATGATTCCAACATAAAAATGCAAAATAAATGTAAAAGCAGTTGATCCCCAAATAATGTTAATTCATTCCTGAAAATCAATTACAAGTCAAATGCTGGGTAATCGAAAGCTATCTTCCCACAAGAAATAACATTAAATATATTAATACGTAACTGACCTCTAACTTTTTTGTATCTAGTAATTCCAGTTATTTCTTTTCCGAAGAATTTTTACCCAATATTTTACATTCTACTGTCCTGCCAAAGGAGTGTAAGACAGAAACCTGTATTTGTTTCACATGATGGTAAAAGTGCTGATGTCTTTTTTTCTGTCTCATAAGCACACAAGATATACCGGCAACTTTCAGCAGCTCTGTGATTCTTCACCTTCGCTTGTATAGGGAGCATCTCTCTCTCATTTTAGTTTAGATCTTCTCCTTTTCTCTTAAAGGAATATGCCTTGAGCATAACTCAACTGCTACAGAGTTAATTCTTTCTAAGCAGCACTGTATGTTTTTGTTATTGAAGTTGAATTTGGTGAAGGCACCCTCATGATCAATCACATTTTGCTGGTCTGGGGTCCTGTACATACATGTCTGTACCTCTATTATGTTGTGTTCTGAGTGTACTGTCTTTGACACAGTTATATTTCATATCATAGTTATTATTGAACATAAGGTCAAGTGCATCTTCCAGTTATGTTGGCTCCACTATTTGCTGGTTTGAAGTGAATTTGTTGCAAGGATTTAATAGCTCATGTGTGTGTGAATTTTCATCTATGCTGCCTCCAGGGGTTATCTCTGCTAAAACATTATTTGCTACATTCCTCCATTTTAGGTGTCTTAAGTTGAAATCCCCCAGCAGCAAGATATGTGGGGGCAGGAGCTGGAAGATTTTCCAGACAGTGGTCAAATTTCAAAAGCTGTTCCTGGAATGTTGGGAAGCTGCATTTGGAGGCTTGTATACAACCGCAATAACAAGGTTATGGTTCTTGATCTTTACTGCCAAAACTTCAACTACATCATTTGAGGTGGTTAGTAGTTCCAAGCATATAACTGACTCTGTGACACACACACACTGTGACATACTTTGTGATGTATAGGCCAACCCCTTCCCTTATGCCTGTTCACTCTTCCACATCTGTATAGGTTATAGCCCGGGATCCATATTTCATTGTCAAGGTGATCCTTTATGTGGGTCTCTGTGAAAGCTGCAAACATTGCATTTGACTCTGTGAGCAGCCCACTGATGAAAGGTATTTTGTCGCTCATTACTGTATATCTGCAAAGATGAATGTTGGTGTATTGATGGTATGCAGGGGGCTTTGTTGGCTGGCACTAATATCTGTTGCTTTGGAGTGGAGGCCACTAACTGTGCCTCCCAACTCAAGAGGTGATTTGAGTTGGTGTACAATTTCTGTCATTTCTTGCCAGCTTTATTTTTCTTCCTGGCTCTAAAAAACCTCCATCTCTGGAGTGGTTGTAGCTTCCCTGGTTTTTCCATGGTCTGGGAGATCTGTATCCTCTTGTCCCCTTAGGTGGTGTGCCTGACAATACAGGTTGTAGCATTGTCTTTCCTGGACTGAAGAGTGACACATTTCAGGGTGAAAATATTACAGGAAGAGTTGCATTTTCTGGGATGGTTAAGGTTGCATGTCCCACCTGATTTCCAGACATTCCATGCCTGCAGCTACCCAAGGCACAGAATTTGCAGAGGTTTGATTTCTGTTTGCCATGGTTCTTTGTGGCTTCATTCCCTAATGGTGAATTTTTTCTGACTCCCTGCTATCTTCAATACCCATACTAACAATCCTACCTCCACCAGCTTTTACTGGTAGTGTATTTACACTATTTCTCAGAGCATCATCCCTTTGTTTGCCATCTCCAGTAGTATTACTATTTTGTAACTTTGGAGTTTGCATATCTCTGTCTATGCCTGTTTCCCCAGCACCAGGACCCCTGTCCCCCACTGGTGTACTGGCTTTCATTTCTGTATTCTTACAGGTACTGTCCTACTGGACAGCACCAAACCAATGGTGAAAGCATCTTCTGGCCAAATCCTCTTATTTTCCCTAACTGTTATACAAGACTGTCAAGTTTTCTAAGAAGGCTGTTTTGATGTTTCTGTCTTTTAGAACAGATGTAATTTTTTTCCCCACAGTTGGCTAATGTTGGGGTAGATCCAAAAACATTTTCTTGATCTAATATCCTTAGTGGGCGAGTGCTGAATGTTTACACATGATGCATGGGACCATTTTCCACAGACATTGCATGCAATCCAAGCAGAAGCCTACTTGCAACTGTGTGTGCAGACTACACAGATTTTCAGGTTGTAGTTTTTGCTGGTAATACTGTAGTTCTGTATATTCTTCAAGTGTCTGATATATACTTTTATAGATTATTTATATACTATTTTAGATTATTTATAGTTTCATGTCTCATACATCAAACTATACTCCTATAGTGGACCTCTCCTATTCAAACTAGTATATATCTTATATATGTATACTTTTGATATACTATATACTTTTGATTTATGTGGTTTCTGTGTCCCACTAAACTGGTACACACAGCAGATCTCCTTGGCAGCTAATCAATATACATGTATATCTTCTTTCAACAAACCAGCTGTATCCCACCAAGGCAGGGTGACCCAAAAAGAAAAATGAAAGTTTCTCTTTTTAAATTTAGTAATGTATACAGAAGAAGGTGTTACTAGATCAGTATACAGTAGGGTTACATTTATATGGCAAGTTATTTTCCAGGCTACTGCCGGAAAGCAGACCGGCAGAAAGTAGAATGCCATTTTTTCCAATTATGTATGCATATAAATGCCAACAAGTTTACACTAATACATATTAAGTTAGCAATAGAACTAGGCATTAAAAAACAATAAAAAGTAAAATACACATACAGTACACTCAATATTTACCTCAAAATATTTGTAGTCTTAATGTAGGGTAAAAGGTGAGTAGTATTTACTGTAAGAAATCAGGTGTTGTAGCCCTCCTGGCCACCCCACCCACACATAATATACTACGACAATGCTTAAAGCTCCCTAGAGTGATATAATGCATATACAGTACACTCATTACTTACCTTAAAATATTTGTAGTCTTAACCCTTTCAGGGTCGAGAGGCCCTCTCCCAAATTTGTTCTCGGCCGAAAAATTTTCAGAAAAAAAAAAAAATTTTTCTTATGAAAAGATAGAGAATCTTTTCCCGATCATAATGACACCAAAAGTATGAAATTTGATGGAAAACTTACAGAATTATGCTCTTGCAAAGTTAGCGGTCTCGACGATGTTTACGCATCAGCAATTTCGCCCACTTTGAGCCCTATTTTCAGCATATTCCAGTGTACTAGTCGACAAAAATCATAACTATTTCATTAGAACTTCATTTTTTCTATTGAATGAGTACAAGAAACCACCCATTTTCCGATTTAAACTATCCAGTAAAGTGGTCAGAAATTAGCAATTTTGCAAATTTCACACAAATTTCAAAAGATGCCAATTTCCAAACAGGGCCCAGAATAAACAAGACAGACATTCCTAGCACTAAAATAACATTTCCTCTGTTCATTAGTCACGTCCCCAGGCCCCTCTTACATTTCTTTTGCTTTCCAATTTGAATTTTTATTCTCGCAAAAAATAAAAGATTTACTGTTATGCAGATTACTGCATTAGTGTAGATATGATATCAATAATATCAGCGCACTTGTGAAAGAATATTAGACTCAACCAGTTGACGTGTATTGGATGCGTGGCATGAACTTTGGCAAAAATCAAATATTTCTGCTACTTTGAGCTCAATTTCAAGGTACTTTTCATTGTGAAACCAATCAAAATCATATAAATTTCTGTAACATGTCTTCCATTCTATAAAATGAGACCAGGAAAGCCAGAATACAACATAAATACCATACGAAAATACAGTGCAAAGTTGCTGTTTTAAAGCAAAAACAAAAATTTTTTTTTTTCTCATTACACACTGTGTGCTGCAGAATTTTTTTTATGCTGTGTACACTGACCATGTAAACCCATTCTTTCATATGTAGGCCTACCAGCTTTCTCTCATTAGATCTGAAGGTACTAGAATTTAGGCGTACTAGTACGTCAAAAACCCTGGTGCGTAAGCTGTACTAGTACGTCGGAAATCCTGAAAGGGTTAATGATCTCAATGTAGGGTGAAAGGTGAAAAGTATTTATTTGTAGAAAGTCATGTGGGAGGTAGGGTTGGGTAGCCCGCCTGGCCACCCAACCCACTAAGTAAACAAATGGACAATTTTTTTTTTTTTTTTTTATCACACTGGCCGATTCCCACCAAGGCAGGGTGGCCTGAAAAAGAAAAACTTTCACCATCATTCACTCCCTCACTGTCTTGCCAGAAGGGTGCTTTACACTACAGTTTTTAAACTGCAACATTAACACCCCTCCTTCAGAGTGCAGGCACTGTACTTCCCATCTCCAGGACTCAAGTCCGGCCTGCCGGTTTCCCTGAACCCCTTCATAAATGTTACTTTGCTCACACTCCAACAGCACGTCAAGTATTAAAAACCATTCGTCTCCATTCACATCCTATCAAACACGCTCACGCACGCCTGCTGGAAGTCCAAGCACCTCGCACACAAAACCTCCTTTACCCCCTCCTCCAACCTTTCCTAGGCCGACCCCTACCCCGCCTTCCTTCACTACAGACTGATACACTCTGAAGTCATTCTGTTTCGTCCATTCTCTCTACATGTCCGAACCACCTCAACAACCCTTCTCAGCCCTCTGGACAACAGTTTTGGTAATCCCGCACCTCCTCCAAAACTTCCAAACTACGAATTCTCTGCATTATATTCACACCACACATTCCCCTCAGACATGACATCTCCACTGCCTCCGGCCTTCTCCTCGCTGCAACATTCATCACCCATGCTTCACCCCCATATAAGAGTGTT